TTATGTATTTTTTTTTTTTTGTCCATAAAGTTAATTTGCAACATGATATATGGCAAAATGTGTATATGAAATCTGTATCTGTATTTAGTTTTTCCAATATTTTCTGCCAAGTATTAGAATTTTGGCTGTTTACAAAATAAAAGCCATACTAATTCCTGGACCATATTAAACAAAAACTAGTATCAAGAATTTACTGTTTGCTTTTATAATATTGCTTTAAATTTATATAAATTTATCATAGTTCTTGTATAATAAATCTAAGTGCGACTATTATTATTGGTCACATTTTGTCAGTCTTTTTCTTTTTAATATTTCCTTTTGTATCACTTAGCATACTTTGACATTCAAAATTTGATTTAAATAATCTGAATGTAAATTTAAAAATGTTTTTAAATTAGGAAATTTTTGTTAATGCTATTTATTTATTTTTTTTTCATACAACACTTCAATCTTTATTAAATTTTTTTTCTTTATCGCATCAGTCAAAAACCTGGATGCGACATGGCCCCATCTGATGATATGGACTCTGGGTATTGTTGGCTTTAACAATTAACTTGTATGATTTGAGGCAAAGTGAGAAAACTTAAATTGATCAAATCTGAAATGACAGCAATTCATTTAATTCAGTCTTGTTAGTTGAAATATGTTATTCATGTCTGACGCATTCAGATTCCGATCTCTGGTTTGTGGTTGACTTTGAAATCAGATGTTTTTTGTGTCTCACATTTAACCTTGAACCAGAATCTTCAACTTCATTTAAAGAAAGAAAAAAATTTTTTCACTTTGTCTTGGATCATATTCTCTATAGGCTTTTGCCTTTTAAGCATCATAAACATGCTGTTTTCCCTGCCACTTTCAAATTTCAAAATAGTTTTAGGGACAAAGATAATGTTTTTTGTAATTATGCCTGATTGCTAAAATATTTGATGGGCTGTATTTTGCATTTTCTGCTTTAAAATAACTGATTTTCACTGGCAGCCTGATCAAGCATGTAGATATTTCACTTACTGCAGTGACCCTGCAAAATGTTTAAACCATAAGATGCCAATTGATACAAGCATATACTGCCTACATAATTTGCATGGCTCAAACTACTTTAACATGATACAAGAAATTTGATAAAATATTAAAGTTAAACAGATCTTATTGAGTAATGTTGTTTTCAATATTTTATTATTTCATTCACTTTTCCACTCTTTATGGGATAGAAATACATGTAAGCAATGATCAGAAAATTCAATTGAGCAAAAGACCTCTGAGAGTTGGTAGTTGTAAATAATTTTTACACCTTACTTTTGCATTTGAAGTGTTTCCATCTGATAGAATTTTCTTTGAACCTATTTGAGCACCTTCTAAGGAGCCTTAAAATTCATTTATTTGTAAACTTTATTAGCTTAAAATTAATTCTTCTAATGATCATTCTCTTTATACTGAACCATTGAGGTTTTGACCTAAGTCAAGATTGTCAATGTTAATGATTACTATAGTACAACAGGTTTCCTTATTTACTTACTAATTTAACAATGTTATTGAAAATGATTTCTTTCTATTATTAGGTTTTCATATGTGAGTTTTGAAATATATAATTAGATATCATACCTGTAAAAATAATGAGTATTTATGTATTATTTATATCAACCTTAGATTAGTATAGTATCTGTGCACACCACTGAACTTAGTATTTGCAAGTTGATTTTATCATGCTGTTCAAGCACTGGTGTAGTGTATATGTCACTTGCCAGGTTACCTTCAGTTCAAATCAGAGCAGTTGTTTTATATATTGATTTGCTTTATTAAAGTTATAGATAAGTATACAAATACATGATGTATCATATAGATAAATTTTTAATGCTTTTCATTAACGTTTTAATCACTTATGTGTGGTGACCTAAAAAATCATTAAATCTAGATGATTGAATTTTGACTAGAATTCCCACATTGAGTTTTTAAATTTAGTTCAGAAGTTACTCAAATCATATATAAATTATAGTCAGTACTAAAAGTATTGGAAGAAGCTGTTACCTTTTCATCATGGTAATTGCCCTTTCCAATATACTTATTTTATATTTTTTACTTGCTTTTGCCAGATCTTTTTTGCATAACACCAAAAGTGGGTATAATTTTTTTTTACTTGGTGCCTGAATTAAGTTATTTCAACATTTTTATTTTTCTGCTGCCATTGCTTTGTCTAATGATAAAACTCCAATATCTATTTAACACTGGGATTTGTAATGTATATTGTTTTTTGTTTTTTTTATTTTTTTTAAATCTTCTACAAGGTTTAAAATACCTGAATATTTTTTCTATTATAATCTTGTCAAATTCTTGTTTAACAATGTATCTGTAATTTGTGTACAATTTTATTGATTATTCAATTAAAGAATAAAAGAACAAAAATCAAGAAAATATCTATTAATATATTTTTTATTTGTCTACAGGTTTTCATTTAATCTATCCATCAGCACAAATACACTGAAAACTTGTTTTAACTCCATATTATGTTTATCAATCAATACAAAATAATTGATTTATGAATTTAAATTCTTTTGGTGTTGGAATGTTTAATATTGCTTTAAAATGTATGAATCTGTTATCAATCTTAAATCTTATTTTGTTTCTCCAAATCCCCACTGACAGAAATGTTTGAAAAAGTATTACAAGACCATCACCAAAACCTTTTAAAAAAAATTGGTTTCAAATATACATTGACCATTTGCCACATGTTGTATTATATTTTCACTGTAAATTTGAACACTACTGTTTTGGTTATGCACAAGTCCCAAAAAATGTTAGCAATTATTAAATGGGTAGATATGGAATTGTTTCAAATAATTTTATTTGCTATATTTCAGCCAATTTCTATGTGGCTATAGGTAACATTTTAAGTTCTATCAAGAAACATTAAGATTTGTTTTCCAAATGTTAGAACTCAATCAGCTTTAACCTGTATATATTATATAACTCTCAGTTTATATGCACAATAGTCAATATGACTTATAAAATCCATGTTGGAGTTTATATCTTGATAATAAGTTGATGCCAAGTTGGATTTTACAAATTAAGAATGTTTTTTTTAACAGCTTCTAGAAAATAAAAATTAATGCAAAAATCCCTTCATCAATAAAGAAGGGTGTTACTTTATGCTAAATTTTTAAAATAGATTTTTTTCCATTTATCCTTAATGCAATATTCAAAGCTGATATAACAAATGAATTATTGATTAATTAAATCAAATTGATTAGGGAGTTGTCCTGGTTTACTATTGCTGTGTAGTTGTATTCTCAAAAATAAATGCTTTTCCCACAAGGCAAATCAATATCAAAAAGAAAAAACACCAGATGTTGCATATTTATTTTTCCTCATAATATATACTATTTATTGCTCCCTGCCCATCTTATATATATAATAAAAAGGCTTAAACACTAATATTCCATGGTCATAATTTATTCCATTGGAATCGTAAATACGATCCAATTCATCAGACCTACAAATTATATATATATATATATATATATATATATATATATATATATATATATGAGAGAGAGGCATGGTGTAGTAATGTATAGTGATTCAGATTGAGGAATTGGAGAGCAGAGTTCAAATTGAGTTAGTTACATTAACTTACATGCAAATACTCTTGAGAAAGGTATGAATCCATCTGTCTTCTCTTCAGCTATGGGTAAATAGTTGAACAAACTGGGTCCTCTAGCCTTGTGTGGCAACTGGTCTAAGAGAAAGACAACTCTGAAATCAAAACCTGAGGGTGGGTCATTTGGGAACCTTGTGGCACACTGTGTACCAGTTCTCTGCATTTAGCTCTTCCAAAAAGTGTGGTTGGTCCTACACAAGCCTTCACCACTTCATCATATGTGTGAGTAGTTTGATTATTCTAAGAACTGTGTTGCTGTACCCTCATACATCAAAGATAACAGGAGAGTCATATATATATATATATATATATACACACACACAATCTCAAAGATTTGTATTGTATCTTTTCAATAACTCATTTCTATACACAGAATAGTCCAATTACTGATTTGTATTAAAATTTAGTATTAAAAAAAACCCACTCTTCTCTTATCTTTCCAAAGAGTTTCCAAACAAAATTAAGATGATCTGTGTTGATACAGAGTGGCTTGATAGAATCTGCAATTTAAGGTTCCTATTATATATTTAAATAGGTAGAAAGTTTAGGTTTGCTGTTCATATAATTCAGTAATAGTATAACTAGTACCTTTCTTATTAATCTTGGCATTATTTTTATTGATGTTTTATTATTGTATGGGGAGGAAGAGAGAATGTAGATGTAGTATAAGTGCTATGTGTGTAAACAAAATATTTTGGTCATAATTTGCAGAATTGATAAAAATGACAATGATAGCCATTCAGAAATATCAATATTTCTCACAATTTGAAAATACTTTTTCTAAATATGAAATCAAGTGATTCAGAACACAAAATAAGTCTTTAAAATCATCAAATATTTAGACTTTATTTTATATGGCAATTTTCTGGGTTCTCTTTTAATGATATTATATAAAAGAGGAGAGTTAGTGCATTTCTAGTAATTTCCAATAATATTAAATGTCAACTAGAAGTATTCTAAAGTTAATATTTTTGATGAAATCAGATCTTTTTCCTATTTTCTTATTTTTTTTTAAAAAGTGCTATTCAGGTGACATTGACTGAAACAGTTGAATTCAATTTCAAGAATTTTTTTGTCAGCACAAAAGAATTAAATTATATATTTTTATTGATATTTTTCTTAATAAATTTGAAGAATATTTTTTTATTTTGCATGTCAGGCATAAATTTTTCTTTCAAAATTTTTTTCCTCTGTTTATGCCATTGCTTATTTTTTTAATGGATCTTTATATAAATGGTTCTTATTTGTTTGAAATACTTTCACTTGGTTGCCTTTTTGTTTTTATTCTAATTTATGCTAAATACAAAATATATGTTAATTAACTTTGTATTTTTTTTCTTTTCTTCAGTTCCAAAGAACCAGTTTGGAATCAAGGTGAATTCTATTTTTCAATTTTTGTTTCAATTGTCCTTAGTAAATCTTTGTAATTGACCATTTTAAATTCTTTTCAGTTTATTTACAATAAAAGTTAAAATACTGAAAATTCAAAATTAACTTTTTCACTTAATATACTTTTCTTGCTGAGTTAACATTAAGTTTAATATAGACATATTACCATAAACATATTTAGTTGGTATACAAGTTTGAGTAGTCACTTTTTTTTTTTTTTTTTTTAACTGAAATCAATGTCAACCAACTTAGAAATCCTACTAAAAAAAAACATACTTCCTGACATGGATCAAACCTGTAATCATTGTATTCAGGAGGCACATTTTCTTTAGTAAGATATCTAGGCTGGGTGACATTAATTTCAGTTTTTAAAAAGCAGGGGTGTCTACTTATACATGTACTTACTAAATATAAAGACTAAATATATATATATATATATATATATATATATATATAATGTTGAATATAAAATAAAATCCATTAATTGCTTAAAAATTGTATTTATGGAACATGAAAGGTTAACAAACTTTTAATATAATTTGATATGATAATCTTACTTAATATTCAATATCAAAACAAGATGAAAATTTGAAGAAAGGATATTCAAACAAGAGTGGTTAAGTTCATTTTACATTGATATAAATGTTTTAAGGATGTTTTCTTGCATGTTAATTAAATATTGATTGTCTGCAATTGTTTTGTTTTTTTCTCTCAACTTATATCGTAAATTAAAATTTTGTTTCACATTACTAGCATTTAACACTGAGTGAGTCACATCTGATAAAATGACTAATTAGGAGTCACAACAAAGAAGGCTTTCTTTGCTGGATGGCGAAATTATCAATCTTTAAATCAGTTGTATTTTCTCATTTCTTTTTAATTTTACTAAACAAATAATTTCTCTGTAATCTTAGATTTTCATTCAGAATCTTTACTATTTTATAGCTAAGTGTTTTATTTTATTTATATATATATATATATATATATATATATATATATATATATATATATATATATATATACACCCACCCACACACAACCATTAAAATCAGTACAAAAAGTCAGCAATTCTGATTTCAATATACAGACAGTATGGCAGGCTTTATGAAAAAAAAAAAGAAACATTGCAATTAAGATTTGATGAGTTGGAAATGAGCTGCAGCTTTTGCTCAAGTATTTGAGAATAATCAATATCATTTGTAAGCAAGAAAATCTAATATAATTAATCAAGGAGCAATTACTTCAGTTAATCATTGTAAGGATAGGAAAGACTTGTTAATTTTTGTCTAGAATTCCAAAATTCTTGTGTAAACAATTTTTTCTAAATTCTCTAACAGCTGCTGGATATAGATGATATTTGAGAAAAATTGGGTATAATGTTGTTGTAAAAACAATGGATGAGTTAATTTTTCTCTTATAAAAATTGTCACAGAATATTTGAAAATAGACAAAATATAACACTTTTTTTCATAAGAGAGAAAAGATTGTCAGGTTTTGAACCAATAGGCAATTAAATTCTAATAAGTCATTTCTAAACATTGGTCCTTTTTGTGATTATGAGGGTATTCTATTTTGAAGATAATTTTAAATACTTTAATGTGTCAGTAAGACAAATTTAGATTGAAATAAACAGGAGCACACCGTTTAATTTGTAAACAGAATGTGACTGAAAACTTGGAATGCTATGAAAGAAAAGTAATGTGCCAAAATAATTTCTAAAATAATAATCCCAAATTCATTAGTTTGGATTTTTGTATCTAGTATGACATTTAAGATTGATATTAAAACTTTTGTTATTGCTTAATTTTTATTGCCCCACACTGCTACCTATCTCATTCTCCAAAGTTTGACATTGATTTTATTGTGCTGTTTACAGGTTCTAAGAGCCGAGGTATGCACAAGGGTGATTTGTAGATATGACACACATACATATACACACACACACACACACACACATATATATATATATATATATATATATATATATATATATATATATATATATATAGTAGCGTCCAAAACTAAGGGATAAAATTTTAAAACCTAATATTTGTTAGAAATAACAACTGTGAAAAGCTGAAATTTTGACAACTGGTAGTCGTTATCATCCATAATAACATACTAAAATTTGAATCATTTGCAAAGGATAGAAAAAGAATTATAACAATTATTTATTTATTTTCAAATTTGGAACGTCCAAAAGTAAGGGACAAAATTGAGAAAAACAATGTAAATCGCAAAAAAACAAAAATACATGTACAATCAACATTTAGTAAATGAGCCCTTGCTCTCAATGACAGCTGCACATCTTCGACTACAAGAACGAATCAGTTCTTGACAATCCTCGATACTAATTTTAGACCATTCTTCTTGAAGCTTCATCCACAAATCCTCCGTGTTAGTGGGATTTCTTTCCATAATTTTCACTCCTAAGGTCTTCCAAAGATTTTCTATTGGATTTAAGTCAGGACTTTGCGGTGGCCAATCCATAATTTCCAAATCTTGCTCACTAAGGTAACTCATTACCACCTTTGCCTTGTGACATGGGGCATTATCTTGCATAAAGGTAGCCCTATCGAAACCTGAATTCTGTATGATTGGCACAACATGATCTTGAACAATGTTTTTATAGATCTGCACGTTTACACGAGTTTGTAACCGGACAAGAGGCATTGTACCTTGGCTAGAAAACATTCCAAATACCATGATGCTTCCGTCCCCAAACTTGACAGTTTTCTTAGTACACTTCGCACTTAATCTTTCACCAATACGTCTCTTTACATTGTTTTTTCCATCATTTCCAAATAAATTAAACTTGCTCTCATCACTGAAAAATACTTTTGCCCAATTTTCATATGTCCAAATTACATACCTGTTTGCAAACTCTAATCTCTTCTTATTCTTCAACTAACAAGTGGTTTCTTCCCTGGGTTCGATTAAACAGCCCTATTTCTTGCAGTCGTCTACAAACAGTCTGTCTTGACACATTAACACATGAGGTGCTATTCATAACCCTTTTAATTTCTGTGCAAGACTTAAAACGATCCTTTAATGACATACGCTGCATTATTCGATCTTCTCTTGACAAAGTTTTGCGGGGTCTGCCGGTTTTAAAAGCACTATTTTGCCAGTATCATTGTAGGATTTAACAACCCTGCCTACAACACTCTTGGAACGTTTCACTTTCTCTGAAATCTCTCTAATGGTGTGCTTTTCCTTGTGTAGCTTCACAATAGCTTGTCTCACAGAGTAATCAAGTTTTTGGCATTTCGCCATGGTGCCGGCTGATGCAACGTTTACAAATGACTAAGTAAGACTTATTCTTTAGAGGAAATCAAAAAATTTGAATATAGCATACTGTTTACATTGTTTTTCTCAATTTTGTCCCTTACTTTTGGACGTTCCAAATTTGAAAATAAATAAATAATTGTTATAATTCTTTTTCTATTCTTTGCAAATGATTCAAATTTTAGTATGTTATTATGGATGATAACGACTACCAGTTGTCAAAATTTCAGCTTTTCACAGTTGTTATTTCTAACAAATATTAGGTTTTAAAATTTTGTCCCTTAGTTTTGGACGCTACTGTATATATATATATATATATATATATATATATATATATATATATGTGTGTGTGTGTTTTTCTATCTTTTATATATTTGATATTGCTTTAATTTTTATCTTATTCATGTGTGTTTGCTTTTTTCTTTTCTTTTTTGTCATCATATTAAATAACTAAATTTTGTTAAATGCTGCTTCTTCCCCACCCATATTAAATCGACTACAAATTTTTACTTAAGTAGGTCATTTTAATAAAAATACTATTGACTCAGTAAATGATTCTGTCCATTTTTTTTATGAAAATCATAATTGAAAATGGAATTGATTTTATTTTAATACTTAGGTAAATATTTTATGAATAATTATGAAATGATTCCATTTTATTATTTACATCCTCATCTTTGTCATTACTATTACTTTGTTTCAGCCATTGTACTCTTTGGCCTTCATCAGTTGCATGTTGATCTGACTAACCTTCAGGGAATTTTAAACTGAACCTTTTATTTAATCTATGGAGGTAGATTGTTCTTATTCTGCAAAATGTCTAGAGATATCTAATTTAGTTCTTATTTATTTCTGCTCAGTTATTGCTTGCCCCATTACCTGGATTGACAAGCATCTGATGAGCACTGGAGAGTATAATGGCTCAAATGCTATGATAACAACAAAGATGAGGACAATAGCCCACATGTAAATAATGCATATAATGATAACTCCTCATTCCATTTTCGTTTATAATTTAATCAAATAAAATAGTGAATAACATATAATTATTATTAAAAATTCAGGGACATTTTATGTTCAAATTCCATTTAAATTTGATATTGTCTTTGCTTTAAAATATTTTTCCTCATGATATAAAAATGACCAATTATTAAATTTCAACACAAAAACTGGCATAAATGCACTAAAGTATATGATTGTAGTAAGTGCTTATCTTAAGATGTTGTAAACAAGAGAAAGTCTCAATTTAATGCTCCCACTTTTATTTCTCAATGGATATACTTCCTCATTAATAAAGAAATAATTTTTTTACAAACAAAACTTCATTCAGTAGTTAAAAGCAAACATTATCCAACTCAAGAATATCATACTCGCTATAAATTAGTATTTAATAATAAAAAGTATTAACATTTAATATTATATATATATTGTCAATGTTTAAAAAATATATAAAAGCTTAATCAGAATTATAATTAGTCATTTTATTAATTAGTGGTTAAAACTAAAAATTGAGATTGTGTTAATTAGATTAGCTTACTTTTTTCTTATGTCATCCACATACAAGCCTGTTTCGTTGTGTCACAGCTCATCAGTGTGGCTAGACATCTGATTGCTTCAAGCCGGGATCAAAACCTGATCCAATTTGGCATCAGTCGGAGATCCTGCCCCTAAGCTATCAGCGCATGGTAATGAAAGGG